AACCCAACCATGGAGACAAAAGAATCCACAAGAATAAAGATTTTCAGCCAGCACTGTTTATCAACAGAGTCACACAGTAGGAGACAAAACATTTTGGAGTTAGCCCACACACTAGGTTAACGTAATTTATTTTCTGTTCAGCCATTCCAACATACTTTACAACTGTGTGCAACTCTATTTTAGACATTAGTGCTTTTCTTAATAAATATTGTTTTGTGGAAGCTGCCTGTCATCACAAGGAATGGAAAGTAAAGCATGAAGGAGGAAGATGAGACAATAGCCAGAGATAGGCATACACTGATAAGACCAGCCTTGAGCTGTATCCTCAGTTACTAAGATTCTAGTCCAATTAGTGTCGAGTTTTCCCTTATCTAAGAGAATTTATGGTTTGTTTGTCTAAATGTATAAAAGCATGTAAGCCTAAAGATGAGGATTTAGCATCAGTGCTCTCCCCAACATATGTTCTCAATAAACAGCAAATGCTCTAACTAAATTTATGTTTCAAAGGCTGCTTTGACAATTTTAATAGCTACTTTATTTTTGACTTAACCTAAAATTACCGAATGATGCTGGTAAGCTGTTCTGTTCCTTTGAAGAATGATCCTAAAATCTGTGGTACTAATATGGCTTAGAGGTGAGTGGATCCCCAACATATCTACCAAAGGATCCAAGGCTAATAAGGTTTACTAGTCATTAGTTGCAGTGGCTGTTTAAAAGTTGGTAACATGGATCTGAAAGGAATTCTCTCTTCTAAAGGCTTTTAAAATGTTAATGGAGTGAAAGAGGAGGAGGAAAGGGATTATTTCTGTTAGTAGTTTTGTCATCTATTTCTTTTGTCTGAACTAGACAATGTGAATAGAGATTTGGAAGGAAAAGTTTGTTTTAAAATTCCTGGTTTAGGATTACACAATAAGTATGTGCTTTCTCAATGTTCAAAACGTGTGCCATTCACAGTTTTTACAAACTTCCTGCTCAGTTTACAAAATTTATGCAAAACGACGTATGCACATTGTTGTTGGCTTTTTTTCACAGCAGCCATACATGGATCTTATTGCTTGCTATTAAAAGGGAAACAGACTGGAATTATAGCTTCTTTTAGCTTTGTAAGAGAAAAGGTTACCACCTGTGCACAAACTGACTGGCAGTATTTTTCAGTCTGCAGAAAATTCACTGTCCTTTTTGAATGAGAATAAAGTGTCATACTGATGAATCATCTAGGCAAAAAAAAAAAAGCATACAGTGGCATGAAGAAATGAGTGTTTTTGACAGAGTGCAATCTGGTACAAGTCATATTTCACCACTTTTTATGCTTATCAGTCTGTAGGTTTGTGACAAAAGAATATATAATTTCTTTGAAGTCAAAGTGAAATTACTGGCAAACCCAAGACTTGATCAGTGTTCAAGTTGCAAGGTTGTTTCACTGGGATTCTAGATATAGAAGTAAAAGATTTCTAGCCATTTAATTAGTAGGAAGCTTAAGTTAAGAAAATGCAGTTAAGAAAAATGCACTGTTTCTCTATAGTCAATTATTTGTTAGAATATTTTGTTTTTTTCACACCCTGCTTTATTTTTGTAAACATATCAGTTTCGCAAATAATAATCAGAGGAACAGAAAAGTGCCTTGTAATTTATTATCTATAAAGGTGTGTACAGGTGAATAATAGTCTTTATTTTATAGCACACTACAGCTTCTCAAATTTAGAACAGAGATTAATTTTTTAAGTATTACAAAGATTACGTAAAGGCATGACCTATGTCCCATTGACGTAAATATCAAAACTCTATAGACTTCAATGGAAACAGAAGTAGATTTGGAGGTAGATGATAAAAGATATGGAAACATCATTAAAAACTGAAAAAAAGTCATGCAGGAGGATACAAGGTATGTATATATCTATATTTTGGCAAGTGAGGCAGGAGTGAAGTTGCTCTACAAATTAAGTAAGTCAGTTAAGGGAAAAGAAATCTGTTTGTTTCAAAAGGCTGCTTTATACCTCTTCTGTTAAGAAGCAAGGCAGGACTGCCTTCTTACACATGCATACGCTCTCTTTCCAGTTCTAGAGAAAACACGTTTACACGATGGGTCATTTTACTGAAGAGCTGAATGACAGTAGGGAGAGTCAGAGCAGCCCTGTATTGCTTTGCTTTGTGGACTGCAGGAAGCAGCAGGAGCCGGCAACGGCCACACGGTGCAGGATAAGGCAGAACACTAGCTGCCTGCCCTGAAAAGTAAGAATCACTTTTCCCTACCTACCAATCATTTGTAGCCCAGGGAAGCAGAGAAGTAATTTCAGTAGGTTTTAGATGAGGTCACCTTTTGTAACTCAAACCTTTTTACTCCAAATATAATTTTATTCAAGGAGCTGGGTAATGCGATTACTAGTGATTTCCTGTATCACTTGTATGATGTCCACGCTGTTATTGCTTCAGCCAAGAGGATCGATGATGCTCATAGAGAATGAAAGTTTCGGTAAATCCTACATTTATCTTCTCCATGTGGGTAAATATTCAAGACAAATGTTATCTGTAAAATTATCTGCATCGTGCCCTTCTTTGCATGCAAAAACCAGCTAAATCTGCAGCAGATGTAATGGCACACTTCCATAGCCTACAGCTTCAAGATTTGTTTATATTATGTAGATTAACCATTCAGACATTTTTAATCTTTAATGCTGTTTGATTACTTGTAATGAGCAATCATAGTAATAAAATAAGGATAGATGCAAAACAAATGTCCATATTAACCATAAACCCTGATTACTTGCAGTATTTAGGTGAGAGCTTATTCCCATTTTTTAAGTTCTTGATAACCTTGGATGCTTTTGCAATGAACAACACAACACTGCAGTCCATGGTGACAAAGACTGGCCTTCTCCACATTTGGCCCTTCTTTATTTAGAATAGAAATGACATCTGCTGAAATGCATTTGGTTTGTTTGTTAACAGAAGAGCTGCTAAATGAGGTTTCTGTTACTAACACAACGGGCGGGGAGAGGAGGCAAAAGGAAAAAGAGGTATAGGAAAGGGTGTCTGAACAGAGTACATGAAGGTGGCTTTAGGCTACACTTGGTGTAGTTAGTGTATGGTCCAAGGGAAGGTGCTGGGAAAATTGAACCCAAAAGAAGTCTGTCTGCACTGTGGAGCATAAACCTAGCAGGATCATTATAGGACTAAAAGAGCGAGCTTTTCTAGCCAACAAGGCAGGCCTAAGAGAAGGTGAAAGGGGCTGTCTGAATGTTGGGAACTAAGTTGGTCTGATGAGCGTTTGCCTTCCAGAACAAAGGTTGGAAAGCCTGTCAGACAGCCTGATTACATTGGTCTCAAGAGGAAAACACAGGGCCATATTGCACGAAGGAAGGGTGACAAAAGGGTGCTGTCACTATAGAATAAGGAGAATCTTAATTCTTTGCCATATAACTATATATTAAAAGAGGTTTGTCAGCATTTGGAGGGGTGACTTTCGCAGATTGGAATACATACATAACAGCACAGGCACTGGAACTTCCTTCTATTGATTTTCACTTAACGCAAGTATTTTCTTTCAAAGATGACACAAAATATCTTTGCTCTTGTTGAGAACCTTCATTTTGCTGAGAACGACTTGGTGGTGAACTCCTCCCTCTCCAGTTTTCCTTGGCAAGCCAGCAATGTAATAATAAACAGACAGCTTTTGCTAGACTTTTCTTCATTCTGTTTTATACTTCCCCGGTACAGGTAAAGACATACCCAGGGCACGGAGCACCTTTTCTGTACAATTTTGCAGCATTCTCCTAAGTGATGATGTTTCCTTATGAAACATCTATTACTGTGGAGAGGGGGAGTTGTTGTCAGAACAGTTTTCCATATTGTTATTGCCTTCTCTGGATCCTTTTCAATAATATATTATGTGACTGATTAAAAACAAGTTGTTGCTATTAAATGTATTATCATACAGTACAAAGGGGGTATACCTGTGCTAGTGAGAAAGCTGTACTGTGCAATTTAAAACAGGTTGGATGACAAATCAATGCGTATTTTCAACTTGACCTCTCCATTAGACCTTAACTCCCATTATTATCCACATTTAAATTGCAGTGGCATTTTCTCGACGACTAGCTGTTGCAGCCAGTTAGCTAAGCACACCTCAGTAGCCTACGTAACCTTACCTAAGTAGCCTAGCCAGCTAGGCTGAGCGGGATGGGATTCTGTCAAGCCTCCTCCAGCAAGAGCGGCTGTACTGCTGGCAAACGTCTGCCAGGGAAAGGAATCTTCAGGAGCCTCCTGGGATCTCAGCGAGCTCAATGGCCAAAACTTTGGAAAAGCGCTTTTCTGTTTGAGCTTTGGCTCATTATCATGCGAGGGCCTGCAGCGGCATTGGCACAGAGGGGGCTACAAGGGCAGATAAAATGCCCCCGCTGCCTCGTTTGGGCTGGGCACGGACCAGCGGCAGCGTGACACGCAGCGGGTGGCACGAGTCTCCCCTCACGCAGAAGTGCACTGACCTGCTACACCATCTCTTTTATTTCCCTCTCGGCCTGATCCGAACGTGAGGAGAGGTTGAGCTCGGTAGTTTCAGCTCCCACCTTGGGCATTTCGAGCCTCCGCTGGGCAGACGCCCGCCGCGAACGACGGGCTCCAGAGGCGTTGGCGGGGCAGGGCTGTGAGGGGCGCCGCGCGCCGCCTCAGGCGCGGAGCAGCACGCGCCCTTGGGAGACCCCCCTCGCGGGGCAGAAAGCCGTTTAACGGCCGTCACGCTCCACAGTGGCGGGGTCGGGGCGGGCCCGCGCTGCGCGCTGATTGGCTGCCGTCCCCCCCCGCCCCGAGGGGCCCCGCTGGCCACAGCAGCCGGCGGCGGTTGCGGGCGGCGGCAGCTTGACCAGTTCTGTGAGGCGACGGTGCAGTCGCCCCGTGCCCAGCTTACGGCTCTGCAAGCCCCCGCCTCCGCTTCTCCGCGCCGGGTCCGGTCCGGCTGCTTCGGCCCGGCAGAGCGGTGGAGGGGCGGCGGTCCGGCGATGGTGGGGCGCGGGCGGCGGCGCTGAGGGGGCTGAGTAGGGAGGGAGGGAGTGAGGAGGAGGAGGGCGCCATGCGGTCCCTGAACATCACCCCGGAGCAGTTCGCGCAGCTCCTGCGGGACAACAACGTGACGCGGGAGCAGTTCATCGCCCTCTACGGGCTACAGCCGCTGGTCTACATCCCAGAGCTGCCGGGGCGCACCAAGGTGGCCTTCGTCCTCATCTGCGTGCTCATCTTCGCCCTGGCGCTCTTCGGCAACTGCCTGGTGCTCTACGTGGTGACCCGCAGCAAAGCCATGAGGACCGTCACCAACATCTTCATCTGCTCCCTGGCCCTCAGCGACCTCCTCATCGCCTTCTTCTGCGTCCCCTTCACCATGCTGCAGAACATCTCCTCCAACTGGCTCGGCGGTGGGTACCGGGGCCGGGGCGGGCGGTCCCGGGCCGTTACGGGCTCGACGGCTGCTGGAGGGAGGGGCGGGGGGCGGACGATGAGGCGCAGCGGTGGGGCAGTGCTTGTGGCCAGCCCCGCCGCTCAGACCCTCCCGCCGTCTGTGAGGGACCCCGAGGGGTGTGGGGTGTCCCCCGAGGCGAGCCCCGGGCAGCCGCGGCCGTTGCGGCCGGTCTTGGGCTGAGGAGGAGGAGGGGCGCGGCCGCCCGGTTGTGAGGGAACTGCCGTCCTCCCCGAGGGCAGCGTTATTGCCGCGCACCCCCGCCGAGCTCTTCGCGCTGGCACAGGGCTTCAACTTCTCGGTAGAAACTTGCAACGTCTGCTGTCCCCGGAGCCGCTGGTCGCGTCCAGGCATTCGCAGTCTTTTATCGCAGGACTGGGGCGCTGTCCCCAGGTGTGTAGTTCAGTAACCTCAGCCTGCCGTCAGCTGCTTTTCCGCAGAGTTCAGTAATGGCTACACCACTCCCTCAGGTTGTGTTAAACCCAGTGCGCTTTCATGCTTGCATATGTTAAAAGTCGCAGTATGTGTGTGAGAAACTATATGTTGTCTGGTGCTGATGAGGTAGTCTTGCCGTACTTTCTCTTTTTTTTTGCCTCATAAATAATGGAATTTGTCTGGCAAGTGAAATATCAGTCTTTATTCAGCTTAAGTTCCTCTGACAGCAGTCGACTTGGAGTCAGACCTCCTTAACCTTTTGTGAGGAAAAAGAATGTGTCCTTGGAGAAATAGGAAAGTGAAAGAACATGCAGAATTTATGTTGAAATTATGCATTATTTTCAAGATATGCTGATATGAAGGACCTTTGGGCAAGGCCTCCCTGATGCTTACAAATAATAATTATTTTTTTCTTTTTTTGTGCACCCCAGTCACCCCAGTGGTAAAGTAACAAAAAGACAAAGGTGAAGTAACACTGCAAATGGTATTTATCTTCCTTTTCTTGGTCTTAAAAGAGTGTTTGACCATTGTAAGCGGAAAAATAAAAGGGATGGTTTTGCAGCAAGTAGCAGACAACACCTTATACAACTACAAATTGAAATATTTGTCAGAATATTTTAATATGAACAGAACAGATGTTCATGAAGTGACACAGTTATGTTTCGATTTCCAAGGCTTCCTGTGCTTCCATTGTTGGGAGGCAGTGAAGGTTACCTTCAAAGCATGGAGATTTAATTGCAGTACATCCCACGGGCTAGAATGCAGGATGGGAATTGACAGGTCAGAGGAAGCTTGAAAAGCACATGGATACCTAACCCAGTGAGAAATGGGCTTTATTTTTGTCTGAAAAACAGGAACTTTCTGGGAGAAGTGATGAATACAAAACTCTAGGGGCTACTGACAGTAAGGGCAACTGTTTTATTTTCTTACAAGCTGTCTTTGGGGGGGGGGGGGGTAACCACTGTTTTAAGACAGCACAGATGTTGAACCCCCAAACTAACAAGGACGTGTAAATAAAAATAATGGAATAAATTGATAGCTATACTGCTGTGCCTTCCTTGTGGCTGCTGTATTCCAGTTCTCCTTCCTCTAAGACAAATACAGCAGAAAGTTACTGCTGGCATCAAGAGATCTCACATAAAGGGGGGAGGACTGAATTGAGTAGCTTTCCCTATAGATAAGAGGTGTGATTGTTCTCACTCCTAAGGAAGACCCTGGTCTGTCAGCTTAACCACGCATCTGACCAGAAGCAACTAAAACTTAGGTGGGATGAAGCCTCCACCAGAGGTGAATTACAGCATATATAGCACAGGCATGTGCAACATTATGGGGAAAGTATGTATGTTTATACTTACTTTCTGTTACCGAGGTCACTTGACAAAAATCTAGAAGTAGCGAGTGCAAAAGGTATAGCATAGTTGCAACAAATATCTTCAGATATTCAGTAGCTGGATACTTTAAAGTATACTGCTCTGTGGGTTTTACTGTACTTTTTGTCTACCCTCTTTGCTGTGCTAGAGCATCTTCAGTACAAGTAGATCCATAGGTCCTGTTGACTTTGATAGCTGCCTTTATGGTCCTGGTAAGATAATTAGCTTTAACTAACACAGTAGTGGGAGGGTGTTACTCTTCACTGTTGGGAGCGGGGGCTGCAAAGTAAAATTCAGGAAAACAAATGAGATATAAACTGGCGGTATCCTAAGGGTATCTGATTCCTGAGGCTTACACTGTGAAGCATGAATAGTGATTGCAGTTATACTGCAAATCAGAGCCTGCCGGTTTGGGAGGAGTCTTTTCCTTGCTAGCTTTACTGGTTTAATTTTTCTTTTGCCTTTCATTTTGTAGTCTGAAAAAGCTTGTTCTCATCTACCTTAATGCAATGTCTCCAAGTAGTGCAAGCTCTAACTCTGTTAAGAAAAAGGTGATTTGACTATCTAATATATCCCTGCTGGAAAAAAGTAGTGCATCCTGTGACACTTCATGCTAGAAATATCCTAGGGTTTCTGAGCATTTAGTCACTTTATATCTTGATTTATTTGTACTTGCATCACTAAAACAAGCATCTGTACTAGGTGATGTGAACTGAGATCTGTATGTTTTGTACTTGTCTTTGATTTGGAACTGTTTTTTTATTTCCATGCTTGTATATGTGTGTTTGTTTCTTTCTCTTTTTTTCCCCTTCAGAAACCCACAGCAGAATGTGAAGGTGAGGGGAAAACTGCACTCTAGGCTGTAGAGGCAGAACGTACAAACATAAGAACAGCTGCAGTTTCAGGGTAGCTGTTATTTTTTAAGACATTATGGGATGCTATCAGAGAGGACTAACTACCATTTTGGCCCTTCTAAAGTGAAGGGTGAAACACTTTCACCCCAAAGGGTTCCAGGTGTGCATAGTTTACAGTAGGACTCCAAGGAGAATGTTGATAGCTGGTGATGTAAAGTAATTCAAATTGTGGATGGTAAAGTGGCTCCTCTAATTGATAGCGTTTGTCAGAATTCTTTAGAAACGGAAGATTTCTCAGCTTCACTGCATTACACTTACCAGAACTTCTGACAGAGATGGGAAGAACTAAAGCACTGGCATGACTTTTTCCACAGTATATTCATTAATATGTCTTAACTTCACCTACAATTTAGCAACTGCAGTTTCAAGAAACTGAATGTGTGCCTCACTCTGCCTGGTGGTTATGCAACTTTAATGCAGACCTGCTAGCTGTACATAGACAGCAACTGGGAGCAGCACCATATTGACCAAATGGGTGAATTGGTCTCACTTTCGATTCTCTGATCTCTTAAGAATGTATAGCTGTGTGAGACTCTGATAGTGACAGTATACAATTTAATTTCTGAATTTATACTTTGCAACTAAAATGGCTGTAATTTCTAGGGGAACTTTTAATAAAAATCCTGCAAGCTAATCTCTCTGTAATGTGGAAGGCACTCTGGAAGAAAATGAACATTGTAGCTGTGGCATAAATGATCACTGGGATCATATTTATTGGTAGGAGGAAGATAAAATGGGAACTTGAGTAAGGGGTAAATTGATGCATACAGCAAAGGTAGTCTTGGTGCAAACTGAAGCAGTTGAGGATTTGCTTTCATATGATCATTGGTAGGAGGCAGCAGCAGTGGTCTCATTGTCATACTGATGGTGGCACTGTTAAAGATAAATTTGGGCTTTTGTCTCTGGGCCAAATATTACAAGAGTTGCTTTATTTTCTGACACTGCTTAGTCAGTAACACGTTACCTTTACAGAACTGCCTGGAGCAAGAATTACTTGTAAAGTTGTGTAATATAATAGCCCTGGCAAAAGATACGGTAGACCTAGCACTATGCTACAACTTTCTCCTGAATTTCTCATCAGTTAGAATATGTATTCTCAAGACAGGTATCAGAGGGTGGCTTTTCCTGTGACTTAGAGAGTAGTGAGTCATCCGAGGCACAGTTGAACACACAGCAGCATTTGCAGCATTTGAGATGCCCTTGCATATCTTGTTTGGCTTCCAGCTGCCACTCGAGAGAGAGGTGGGTCTTCTGTACATTGCTGTCATATCTGGTGCTCCTTGACATGGCAGTTTCTTCTTTTCTAAAGGCTTGGTTGAAAACCAAGTGGCATCTTCTACCCAGTTGAGTATTTAGGGTGCTTTCTGTTCTTTACCAAACATCTTGTGTCAAGCAGTGTGTTACCTTACTTGTACCTTTCCTGTATGAGAATGCATAAACATTCCTTTCTGAGGAACTAAAACTAGATCTTAGTAATGGAAATTACTGGGCCTTTTGTGTCTGGTATTCTTGGACACCTCTAAGTTCTTCAGAGAGACAGAAACTTCTTCACTCTGACTCTCTTCTGGAATGTTCTTTGATACTGAAGAGTTTCCAAATACTCCTAAACTGCTGACATGCTGTTAGGGTTAATACTAGACAGTAAAGCTGGATGTGAGAGATCCAGTTATTTGAATCTCCTGTTTTTAAGCTTTTTTTCTAACTTTCCAATTTAAGTTGTCTAGACTTGCTGTAAATCAGGTCAGGGACACAACAGCACTCTTCATTTGCCTCCTGCAGTGTGAGAGGTTGTGTCTTGGGATTGATCCGCTGCTGTTAAGAGCAGGGTGATGTTGTAGTTTTATCTGTATTGGTGAAATCTTGCATTATCCTTCTTTCTCCATGCCCTGCTATTGTGTATTTTGGGTTATTTGCTTATGAGTAGAGGCAGGAGTAAAATTCTGTATGAAGTTGGTTTGAGAATGGGTTATGTAGTGAATGCCTCAGTAAAGGAAATAATAGGCATAGTGTTTCAGTGAGGTGGTTATTATGTCCTTTTTCTTGGTAGAAATACCTGGCATTCTCTGCCTTGCATTGAGTGAATCAGGAATGTGCTTGCTATGTCCTGTTTTGCTCCCTACTAGTGAGTCTCTCTCTTGAGAAGAGATCTGGACCTTTAACCTATAGCCTGGCCAAAACCCCTCACCTGTACTACTTGTTGTTTGTACCACAATTGCAGACAGTAATTTACTGCAGTAGTT